CCAGTGTTGAAGACTTGATTGATCATCGCAGTTATATGCACAACTTAAGCAGTTGTGAAATTAAAGCCTTTACTTTCACAACCGCTTAAGCTGTGTGTGTAACTGCGATGATCAATCAAGTCTTCGTGTCTTTCTCTGCAGTTCAAATATATGATCTTTCATATATTTTCTTATATTCTTCCCCATCAACGGGTATATTACGACCTCACAATGTGACCAGCTCCCAGTTGGCTTGATAGCTCAGTAGGTAGAGCACTGCACAGGTATCGCAGAGGTCATGGAATCCCGTTCAGGCCTGAATTTTTTTTCAGGCTTAAATTTCGCAACTGCTTAAGTTGTGTGTATAACTGTGATGATCAATCAAATCATGCCTTCATATCTTTCTCCGCAGTTCAAATATACGATCTTTCATATACTCACTAGTATACCAGTTAAGTGTCACTTGTGCACAAAATTTGCCCAGTGCTTCTCGACTAATTAGTGAAAACTACACGGAGCAAGAAAAGAGGAAGAGACAAAATAATGATGGAACAATCTGTTTATGGATCTACTCGGCTGATAATGTATTCACATGTGTATGTGAGTCAGGCTAACAAGAGAGGAAATCTGACGACTACCTAACCACAAAAATAATTCTCATCACAGCTGTAGACGGCTGTGCGGATAATATTTGATACTTTTTAGTGAATTAACCTGCTAAGAAGAACTCCAAGCGATCCAACTAGCTTTCCACTTGTTCCAATAATGCCCAGAATTTTTCTCCCAGGGGGAGGCCTCAGGTGATATTGGTCTCCACCCGTCCCTCCCATCCATATACTTGATTTGTAGTTCGTATGCAGTCTAATGGCGTCAACCCATCCTCCAGCTCTGACGTCAACAGCTGTGATGTATTCATCCGGGGAATTGATGATGAAGGTATAACGCTTACCCAAGCCATCTGTGCCTTGCGGCTCAGAGAGAACTTCCTGACACTCTGCTGGGTAAAAAGACAAATAATGATCTGTCGAAATTAAAAATAGCACTCGGTCAAATATTTTATTGAATAAGGGTGCTATTCCAGGCATCAATGAATTTCTGTGGGCCATCAGACACAACTTTCTTTGCAATCTGAGTATGCAACAGAAAACTATCCCACTAAAGTTGAACTGATCATGAAGTATGTTTACATCAAATCATTAGTCAACACACCAGTTTCAGATGGTTCTTGATTTCCTATAATCTGTATGCAATTAACATACTCATCAGCATGGACAATAAAACCACCCAGCACAGCACTCTGAGACTCAAGCCACTTGACACTGTTGAACAACAGCTGGTTCATTAGATGACAGCCGCCACAATTACCCACAGGGCCACAAACTGTACTACACCAGTGAACCATGGGCTTGTTAATGACCATTTCATCTTCTGCTGGAGTACAACTGGACAACCATCTAAAAATGTAAAACACTTAAATTGATACACTATTCCCAGAGGGGGCACTCTGTTAATCTTTGTTAATCTTTGGGTGGGGCTATGCCGCTGGAACACTCAAACCCTTACCCTGTGCTACATGTAAGACCATGATCAGCTTGAGTTTGCAATCCTATTGTAGACTCCCCCACCCTATCCCAGACTAGCTATTTTCCATGCAGTAGTAATTCTGTACTTGTGAAGTTCTCACTTAGAACTGTGGGTGAAGAACCTTGCCCTCCACTCCAATATTTATACACCGCTTTCCTGGTACATAATACCCTATTACAGACCAAAACTGTCTGATTTCCATACCCTGTCCCAGACTAAACTGCCTGAAAACCATACCCTTGACAGCAGCACATACCTTTATGACTTATATATGGGAGTAGCTCCCGGGACACTAGTGCCCAACAGTGACACAAGATTGTTGATAATTAGCTTGATGAACAATTTGTAGTAAAATCTCACTTGTGATATCTGAGCAGCACAGCAGAGGACCTATACCAGTGTGCCCCATGGCACCACTCATTGGGTGTGGCAATGCTTGCATTTCCATAGGAGGGACTCCTAGTGGCACTGCTAACAGGTGTGGGAACAAGGCCTTCAGCACCTTGGGTGCCTGTGGTTGACACGTGTACAGTGGCCAAAGGTTTGTCAGCTGAGTTTTCTTCAGTGATACTAGCAGCTTAGAAGGACAAAGGTATAAAGTTTTAAAGAAATCAATGCACTGTATCAGGGGTGGATCCAGGATTTTTCTTAGGAGGGTCACTAAGGGATGACATAACTGACTGGTGAGGTAAACAAATTTTAAAAGTGAATACGATGAAGAAGGCTTCATCTCAGGGGGGGTCCACCCTCTCACTGCACCCTCCCCCTAGATCCGCCCCTGTGTATTACGTTTTTAAGCTGGTTGTTGCAGAGTCACTCACTGAAATTTAAGCAAGAATGAAACCTTCATGAACTTGGTTATTTACAATTCAGTAAAAATAATTTGTAGCCCGATTAAACTTGACAACCAGTTGAATCCCAACCATCATCGTCATCGTAATTTAAGTACTGTTCTAGAAAACTGATTCCAACTAATGTGTTTCTGTAATCTATGTAAGATTTAAAACTTCTCAAAGCCAGTGTCCATAACACAACTGCTCTTGAAGACATGTTATTGAGTGTACTTTTAGTTGTATTTAATCCTATCCTTTGCATGAATTTTCAATTTTGCATTGAGTATGAAAATGATTCAAGGATACCAGAAATAAATTTTTGCCTTACCAGACTTTGCTATTACTGCAATGTCCTTTCCTGAAGGTGGTGGTTTCCTCCACATGGTAAATACGCTATTCATGTCATCAAATCCCCTGCCCATAATTCCCTTGGGTGTGTGTGCCAAATCAAAGCAGTGTCCAAGTTCATGTATAGAAGCACCAAGACCAGTGGCGTAATTTGCCCAATAGGTGCCCCTGTAAAGAATAACACTTTCAAAATTATCAACAGCTAGCACTTTTAGTAAACAACAACTTTGTGGAGATGCGGTGGCCTTATGGCTTAGTGGACTCGTCTCCAGATCAAGGGGTCCAGGTTCAAGACCTAGCTGGGAACATTGTGTTGCGTTCTTGGGCAAAACACTTTACTCGCACAGTGCCTCTCTCCACCCAGGTGTATAAATGAGTACCGGCAAATTTAATACTGGGGGGTTAAACCCTGCAATGGATTGGCATCCCATCCAGGGGGGAGTAGAAATACTCCTAGTCACTTCATGCGACTGAAACTGGGATAAGCTCCAGCTCGATGGGCCACTTGGCATGTATGCAGACTTAACCTTTTTTCCTTGTTCCAAGAAGTAAGAGTTTGATTTGTCAGGGAACCCGACAAATCATTGAAAAAAGTGCTGCTCAAAGAAGTTCTAAATCAGGAAAGGATTAAACGTCTCTAGACAATTCAGTTCTTCCCATGCGCTTGGGTATTCCATTTAGATAACATTACTGAACAGCAAATCCCTAATTATTTTGTTCTGCCAAATAAGTGTGATAAAGTTGTGATAAAAAGTAAATAAATGTTTTGTTCTGTTTGTGCAAAGCGCGAGAATGAGCTAATCTGCCTGTTCTCCAGGCTATTCATTTTTTCACTTTTATTAATTGTGTAAGCTTTGTGATCCTATTCTTCATAAATAGAGGAAAGGATATTTGATGACAATTTCCCTCCTGCAAGCAGGGTTTCAAAGCCTATCATTCTGTTACCAGTTGATGGTTTCACTATCACTTATTGTAAATGCCCTTGCACATGGCCAACTTGTTCCACGTACCTTCCACCGCTGTCATCAAACAGCTCTAGCTTGTTAATTATTTGACTGTTGGTAAAACATGGTACCAACTCTTGAATGCTTGATGCCCAAGTGTGCAGTCCTCCCGTACCAAACAGTGCCAGGTATCCCCCTCCAAGTGCAGTGTGTGCCTTGATGTACTTTGTAACAAGCTTCTCATTGAACTGATCAGGGGGAGGTGGGTCATAATGGGTGCAGGACATAAAAGTCCAAAACTTACATTTGGGGTCATAAAGGCTTGAGAACTTCAGTTCTGAGAAATAAGAAAATGGTTGACAGTCAATAACAATGTCAGCAACCCAACGAACAGAATTAAATATAATTTAAGATGGATCCTTTATTTTTCTTTTCAAAGTTGAGATTCTGCCTAAATAGCTCAATTGTTATGACACTGTTAGAAAAAGCAACTTGAAATCAGTGAAATGACACATTTTGACAGTAGTCTTTTGAAAAAATTAAAAAAAAAAAAGCCAAAAAATGTTTTAACACGGTTGGAACATTTTACAGATCAAATGCCTCCTTCCCCCCTTCCCACTTCTAGCCCTGCATACAAGCATCACTCTGTAAAATTTCCCAGTTTTGTGAAGCTTTAACATCGCAATTTCAATACAAGTCACTCACAAACTTGGCTATTTTACCAACTTTGAGGAGCTTTTTTCAGCAGTATTGCCAGATTTTCACTACAGAAAAAAAAACATGACAAGGTCTGTGACTTAGACATTTTACAAGCAGATTGGAACCTGNCAGTGATTTGCTTAAACTCCCTAATCTTGGGGTTAATGCTGAGGGTGGAAGATGACTGACATTTCAGGCTAACTTAATAATATCATAGCATATTTATATGAAAATTTTAACAATGTACCACTACATAGATCAGATGCAGGCCATACCTAATTGGATGTTGCTTGGTTACATGTAACAACCAATAACAAATTAAACCCTACACCAATCTCTGTAGTATAAATTGTCATCACTATGGAATATCAAATGTCTCTCTTTCAAGGAAATAACTGAGTGGACAAAGAGAGGCATTTGTACTTCAAAGGTGATCAGAACTCAGTGTAACAATTTTATGGTGATAACACACATACTTACCTTGATATTGTCAGTGGTTCATATGTTAATTTTAAATTAAATTCATGAATGTCTGCTCTATCCATTACTTTCAACCGAACCAAATTTTCTCCTGTAATAAGAGGCACCACCACCTTGAAACCTCCTTTTACTATTGGCCACATCATTTGATGATCTCCAGTTTTGATCTGTAAAGTCCACTTGTCTTGGTGTACTTGAGATGTATTCTTGATGGATGTTGAGTCCAGAATTTGAAGTTTATTACCTCTTTCTGATTCCAAGTTTTTTGATGTTTCTGAAGCAGGCATTTGTAGTGGACTCCTAGGACCAGCTGTTTCCGCATTGTTACTTATTACTCCTTCTATTAGCACTAAAGGGTAACACACAGTCTCGTTCTGTGAATGGTTTAAAATGAGAATTTCGGGTATAGCCTCCAATTCCATCGTGGCTTAAATATCTCTTTTAAATTTTTTGTTCCACAATGAAGTTTTCAGTTTCTGTGTCACTGATACCCAACGAAACAGGAGAGTTTTGCAGACTTTTTCCTAGATTTCCTGCAGCAGGGCACTTCAGCCAGGTTTGATCATCACAGTAGTTTCAATGCTCTATACTTATTCCAACAGCTTGTAGTGACTTTGAAGCTACGTCAAATCATCCGTGACGTGTCTGCGACAACATTGTTCCAAATGGCGTGGAAAATTTCGAATACGTGTGGTTTCTAGGGAATTTTTTACGCATTATTCAGAATGTAACTTGTCGGCCGCCATGTTTGTTTTCATTTTGGGCAGAGAATGGAACGAGTCGAATCCAGTCTCCACTCAGGTTCAATGTGTTGTCTGATCACCTGATCACACGTCACTGGCCGTTCTTCGCTATTTTGCGTTTTGGCGCTGATTACAGCAGCCGGAGAGACGACATTTACGACCGTATTTGCGACTGCAAAGTCCCTGTTAGGGACACAAACATCTAGCCTACAAGGGAGCAAGCGTTCCCTTGTTATTTTTTGTACATTTTTACCCCAAAACCACTGCCAACTTTGTACACAACGACAAAAAAACACCGCTTCAGTTCCGTTGGTTTCAGTATGGCTTTGTGAAAATTTGCGCCATGTTTATGCAAGAATTGGTCGAAAACGTTTTTTCTCCTTTCGGAGTGACCGTTTATTCCACTTCAGTTTTTAATTCAAAACTTCATAGAACAGTAATTTGGGCGGTGGATGTGCGAGAAGCCCGAGGAAATGGAGGGAAGAACAGCTGCCCAGAAAGGAGTAGTTGTTCCTTCTCAGCTGAATGGACGAGAACCAGGTAAGCTTAAGAATAATAAACAAAAAGTTGTACAATTATTTGATATTAGGTGATGAGATACTATGTGACAGGCGGTATTTTCCTGTAAATTTACTATTAACAAAAACTTCTTAATTCGCAGTTTATTCCTGTTCGTGTCAAAGTCTTAAGTCTCTCTATACATGCTCGGCTGTGTTTTCCGAAATTTATGGATGTCCGTGTACTCGGTTCTGGTGTTTAGGTTCACAGAGACACAAGGAAGTGTTCTTGTCTTCATCACATATAGGATACAATTTGCCACTTTTTGACAAAATGTTTTTCATCACTTTTGAATAATAAAATGTATTCCTGGTTTCACAGTTTTTTTTAGAGAATTTTGACATAATTGTAAGTTTACATCGACAGTAGTAAAAAGATATCTGATGGGTAAATTTGCAATTTTCAGGGAGAACATGTCCCCAGACAACCTGGGAGGGTGTGGCACATTTTCGGTGCCTACTTTTCAACTGGCAACCTATGCAATAACATTCGTGACTGAACAGTGAGGGTGCCAGACTTGAAATGTAGGTCGGGGTTCAAGTCCGGTACTGACCACAAGCTGGTGTTGTTCTCTGTTGTACCGAGTTGTACTCCTTGGCCAAGTTTGTAAATAGCCAACTAGTCTGCTTCCTGCCAGTTGAGATTTTTAACCACCATGTCATGTTCATTTACATTATTTGTCTCATACTATTGGGGGAGTGGTCAATGAAGATATTTATTTATTTATTTATTTATTTATTTATTTATTTATTTATTTATTTATTTAATGGCCAAAATTCAACTTGATAAATCAATTTTTTATTTCAATTTGCTGTATGATGCAGTCAGAAGAATGAGCTAGTGTGGTAGTTTTAGCCCTATATTTACTGAAAGTAATGATTTTTAATCATGGCTAAATTAAAATAGTTCTGCTTGAAGCTTGGAGAGCTAATAATATACTTGCTGATAAACAGTTTCACTTTCAACCTACTTACAAAACAGCTAGTTTTCAACTTACTCATAAAATAATAATTATATTCCTTTAGCACCTAGAAATAAAGGTCATGGGAGAGGTAGAAATAGAAGAGGTCAGTTTAATGGAAGATATCCCAGTCAAGAACATTGGAGACAGCAAAGAGACTCCTCTGATAGGAGAGATGGGTTTAATCAACCACAGAGACGAGGAACTGTGGCTGACAGAAGACCTCCTGCAAGAAGACCCTATCAAACCAGTGTGGATTCAAAGAAGGTCTTTTACTTGCTATCAGTAAATTGACTTGTTTTGAAGTGGATTTCAGTTCAGGGTGAAAAGTACTCATAATTCAAATTTACAGTACTTTGGTTTCTGCATTACTGCGCTTTGCAAAGAGGGTTTAAGAAACTTGTGCCACCTTCTCAACCAATCAGAAGTGCGTTATAAAACAAACACATGCTGCCCCTTTTTTTCTCGTGCTTCATTACTTCATGCTGGCTTATAGGGGTTTCGTTGAGGGCTGGGCGTTGGGCAAATTGACCCTCTGTGAAGATGATTGTACCTGCTGGTTTGACAATCTAGAGAAACATTTTTTTTTATATATAGAAAAGTTCATTTCAAGAGCTTTTACGTGCCTGTGAAAACCAGTTGACCTCCTGCTGAAAATGTTGAAGAAACTACTGTGGCTGTGTGCATTTGCTTCCAGTTTTGATTGGTTCACTGCATGGATTGTGGCCTTTGTGATTGGTTTTCGCTTGATGAAACTCCATTGTAAACCTCTATGTCTGATTTTAGAGTAAATTATGGAAAGCTAGATCTGTCGTCAAATCTTAGTAGAGGGCTGATAAAGGAATTAAACATGGAACATTACAGGATGCCATCAGCCAAAAGTGTATTAAATAAATGCAGTATTACATTGTATGTGGCTTCAAACTTGTTTTGAAATACTTAATTTGTACCATAAAATTACTTTAGGATTCTGTGACTGATTTCCTGCACGATAATCCAGTGACTGGTCCTGGTGCAGGCTCAAAAAAGTATGGCACTTCATTAAACCACTTATTGAACTTCAAGTATGCTCCAAGAGAGAAGCCAGTTGTTTATCGCCCAAGAAGTGGCATCAAAAAGTACACTCCATTTAATAAAGAACAGTTCATTCAAGCCAAGTAAGTATTTTCCTTGGAACTACATAAGTAAATTGAAATTGAATAAACTAGAGTAGAGGTTAGTTCTACGGTTTTCTTAAGAAATTTGATGAAGACAGCTGGTGCATATTGTCAGTGAGGCACTTCCAGTAGCTTGGTTTATATTTTTGTCACTTGAAAAGTTATGTTACCTGATTTTTTTCTTGATCTTATCAGTTTTCAGTTTGTCGTTTCTGATTCTGGTGATTATACCATTCATGCTATGGATCCTGATGTGCTTGTGGAGTGGGATTTCATTGAGCAAGTGGTGAGTTTTTTCTTACATTATTCAGCTTGTGCCAACATAAGATAAAATGTTAGTAGCCATGAATTGTGTTTTGAGTAAGATATCCACCAATGAATCAGGGTCCAACAAATACTAGGCCCAGACGCCCGGGACAAGTTGAAAAGAATACAGGGCAAGTGTTTTATTTCTAGAAAAAGCCCGCCGGGCCGTAGCACTTGACTTATAAGCAATTTTGCGTGATAAATTATAGATATCCAAATATTCAATGTTTACCTTCGAGTAATTCCCATAAAAGCTTTTCAAAATGCAATAACTACGTATCACNATTTTGACTGGGCTGCCAATGTACCAAAGTTTTAAACTCACTCTCAGCAATGTTTCTGGCTTTTGCCATCAGTTTTGCTTTTAGACGGATGACTGTGGTGAAAATTCCGATACCAGCCTTTCTCTTCTCATCAATCCATTCTTTCCTTTGTTTCTTGTTGTGATCGCCACCTTCTAACGTTCCTCTTGTCAACTTGGAACTGGCGTGCTGCTGTTCGTTTTCTTTTCTCTATGGCATAAGTAACAACGGTAAGTTTGAATGGTGCTGTATACAATATCCTGGAAGAACCTTTTGGTTTCATGATTTGCTAGAAATGACTTCACATTTTACTTTCACACAAGGTAAACAGGGCCTTTGAAGTTTGATGCGATCGGACTTGATTGAATGAGAAATTGTGCGTTACTATGGTTGCATAGATCGGCAAGCATGTGCGCGTCATCTGTCACGTTGCATTACATGATTCGAATGTGAAAGATCGAGATCATCCTAAATTAGAAGCCACAGTTCGCAAATTAAAGAGGAGAAATGAGTGGAGCTACACGCACTTATGAAATGGATAGTGAAATCAGAGGTTACCATGTTTATGGAAGCAGTTGGAAACCCAAAATCGGCGATTTGTTATTGACTGATCGAGAAGCATCAAATGAAGACGACAAGTTTGCAGTGGCTGTTTATCAAGAACTCAGCATCAACAAGAAGAAAATTGTCAGACATTTGCTAGTGTAATTCAGCAGAATTGCAGCCTATTTTATTGAGAATGGCGGTGAAATTTCCGGCAAAGTAACTGGGAAAAGGAAGCACTCTAAAGGCCCACAAGGAGGAATGGCTATTCCGTGCAAGCTGTGTTGGACATCTTCAAACAAAAGACATGTTAAAAAACTTGATGCACTCATTGCTGCAGAGAGAATCAAGATGTTTCGCAGATATGGACTTAATGTTTAGCTGTATGTGTTGTGACTGAGGAACAGTTTGAAGCGAACAGTAAAACACCAATTTAGTGTACCACATTAAGATCTTGTGCATATTAATGAAGTGTCAAAACACTTGTACCAGCATATAAGCCACAACCCTAATTTTGGTCCCATTTTTCTGTTGAAAAAGTGCAGCCTATCTGCAGGTAAATACAGTATTGGTGAGACTCATAGTGGAAATAAAAGACAGTTTCAAGTTCTGTGTTTGTAGTTTATTCATGACATCACTCAGATACATTGTCATTTAATTTAAGCCCTTAACTTAAGTTGTTATTGTTATTATGGCTCCTAAACTATAATGTGAATTGATTTTGCTACAGTTCAATGAATCGCTTGTCCTCTACCATTATTAACTGGGACAACTAGCTCATTCTGCTGGGCAAGTGATTTTGACGTGCCACTTTCCCAGGGACAAGTTTTGTCAAAAATATTTGTCGAACTCTGATGAATGTCAAGGTGTTTGATATTTAATTAGTATTTTTGGTTCATGTCTTCATATCATGTTTTATACTTTCAGCGAATCTTCAGCCATGAGGTGCCATCATGTCCAATTTGTTTATATCCCCCAGTTGCAGGTATGTATGTTGATCGATTGTCATTGTTAGTAAGCAAACATTGTTAGTGTCTGACCAAACAAAGTGAAAAGAGGTCGGAATTTGTTGTTGCATAGAGACACAAGTACATGGAAGTTGCAAAAACAAAGCAAACCATGTCAAGGGAAAAGAATTTTTTTTATATATTTCATTAGCTAATAGGGTGTTACAACAAAGAATGACATGTGATCAGCTTGCATTTACTTAAGTCTGGGTTCTGAAAACCTTGCACAGACTTATGTGAAAATCTGATCCAAGCCAATGTGAATGAGTCGTCTTAAGTGCACAAAAGTCCTGGCCAAACAGAGTTGTAAAAAATTGAAAACATGCAACCAATTGTGGCTCCGTGTGGCTAGGCCTTTATACAGGAGGTGTGATGTGTATGTAGCAAGAGGCTTATTTGATTTTCTCAGCACTAGACAATTGCAAGGTAACTTTAGCAGTGGTTTCATGTATCATTATAGATTTTATATCAATGTCTAATAGCTTTTACCAATCTCTATTTATAGCTAAGATAACTCGCTGTGGTCACATCTACTGCTGGTCATGTATTCTTCATTACTTAAGTCTGGTAAGGACAGACAGGATTTTTCATTGTGCTTGGAAAGGTGTTCTGCACAAACAAATTGGACAGCATCATTTTGACTAAAGTAGTAACGGTCAAAACTAAAGAGGCTTCAAATTCTGGCACTTGACAGCTTACGACACCTATACCCTACACCTTAAGTGCTATTTTGTCTTAACTTACCCTTTATTCCCTAGAAAGTTATATTTGTGATATTTTTGTGTGCCATTTCTGTAGCAAGTCGTTGCAGTTTGTTTGCGGATTTCAGTACCTGTCATTAAACTATAGTTATTCATGTTCATCAATGATCTTTTCACAGACTGATAAGTCATGGCACAAGTGTCCTATTTGTTTTGAAGCTGTACACAAGAAGGACTTAAAGAGGTACCACTATCTCTGCAAAATGTAGACATATTTTCTTTATTTCATTTGAACTAACAAATCAAAGAAGTTATACATATTCAAGGCTCGCAAAAAATTTGAATTCTAGCTTGCCCTTGGGACATAGTTCTCAAATTTTGCTTGCCCTTGGCAAGTCTTAGTTTGCTCTTTCACTGCTTTTGATGGCAGATGACTTGCCGAATCCTTTGCCCATCAGGCAAGTGAGGATGAAAAGCTACTTGCCCAGAAGGAAAATCTACCCTGCAAGATCCATGCTTTTTGAGTAAATGGGCAACATGTTTGTTTTTTTCAGTGTTGTTGCTATGGAGTCACACCCATTTTCAGTAGGAGACACTATCACTATGAGGCTTATGAAGCGAGCTAAGGTAAAGTGAAAATTCTGTTTGCTACAACAGGGTTCATAAGGGTCATGGAAAACCTGGAAAGTAATGGAATTTATTATTTCCATTTCCAGGCCTGGAAAGTTATGGAATTTAACTGTGGGTTGTGGAAAGTCATGGACAAGCAATAATGCTTTCTGAGAATAAAAAAGCAAAAAGTTAAAAAATGGAAAAAAATAACAGACGATTCTGAAACAGGCTTTAATTTTCATAGAAATAGACACAAGCATGCATTTTAGGCATTATAATGCTGGAAAATACCTTAAATAAATTATTGTTTTGATACTACTGTTAGAACAACTGCTTAACTTTGGTCATAGAAAACTCAGAAAGGTCATGGAAAAAGTCATTGAAAGTCATGGAATTTTGAAAGCTTAACCCATTGACTCCCATGCCGCCCATAACCGTNGTGAGGACAATAGCCTTTCTTACCCTTCCTGAAGACTATTTTTGGTTCTCTTATTGTTCTTGAGGACAAACAAACCAATCAGAATCGACTTACTGGGCATATTTTTAGAGGACTTTAGGGGTTCTAGATAGACGCTTTTTGTGCTTAAAATTGTGCGCTCATAAAGTGCAGGTTATCATGGCACGCTGCGGGCAAAATCTACAAACTTCAAAGGCCTTGTTTTCATTCCTAACCTGGAGAAATTACTGCTTTGGGATTTAAAAGGAAAAAGAAAAATACAAATTAATGTTTAGGTGGCCTCAGAATGGAAGATCAAGGAGTACAGGGTCCTCAAACCTTTCTGGTGAAGAATTTTTCCTTCCTTCAACCGCCATGAAATCATGACGATCAGTGCGCTTTCAAGTGAGTTTTGAACACAGATCACAGACTTAAAGTAGCTTCCTGGACTTAAGAAAACAAGTACATTATTGCTTCAAAGTTGCATTCAACTTTTGGAACGATTGGTGATCCCACGGCCGATAAAATGACTGCAAAAGTGGTCCGGAGAAACTCAGAGCTTATGCTTTAGCGTGAAGAATTAATTTGAACATGTGGTCATGCAGCAAAGCATGTCTGCGAAATTTTGAGCGTTTGTTTTGCTTTTAAATAGGTTTTTCGCCTCAGCTTGAATGAAAATTTATTTTTATTGAACTTCCTTTCATGTTTCTTTCATTTGGTGCCCTGTTTTGGGGAATTTTAGGTTTTAAAAGTGAACAGTATTTTTGCATGCTGGATTTCTGCATATTCAATTTACGGCGACCTCTGCAGTTTGTTCGATCAGTTTATTCACTTCGTTCAAATATATTTTTTGGAGTCTTATTCAGCTACTACAGAACTGCCGAGAAAAGAACTAAGTGGCCACTAATTTAGCACACTCAAAATACAATTGATCTCAAAATGATTAGCTTGTTTTTGTCGTCTTTTTTACTTGGAACTTTAATCTTTCTTTCACAGTGCTGTAATATTTTGTTGCGCAGCAAAGGAATTATTTGATTTCTTGATTTGAAATTGGTTTTTACATGTGCCTTTCGTGTTTATTTTTCATTGTTTTCTCAAATGCTAGCCGTTATGGTACAAGAATGGAAGTTCTGTGGTATTAATAATTATTTTAGTTTCAATTTGTCCTCCGAAGTCAATAATAACTCATTTTTGCATATTCAATTTTCTTGGCTTCTGTTGGGCATTTTGTCGCGCAGCAAAGCAATAATATAATTTCTTGTTTTCTCGTCAGTTTTAAACATCAAGTTGAGTTCTTTTTGTTGATATTTTTTAATATTTTGACCCTTCATTTCTTCAACTTAAAATAAACAATGTCTTGAAACCTAATCTTGTGTGTGTGGTTACTGCACATATCATTTATTTTTAGCACTCATGCTCGTTCTGAAATGTTAAAAAATTGCCGGAAATTTAGGGGTGGGTTGCGTGCAATTTCATTCAGGAGTCAATGGGTTAAAAGAGTATGAACCCTGTACAAGTTTATCAATGTATTTAAGCTATTTCCTGCCATCTGGGACTCAGTATTGGGGTTTGAAGCTGATGACTACAGTTCAGACATTGTCCCTGTTCACTGTTTGACTTTATAGCTGCAATCATTCTCCACCTACAGTTTTAAATTGCTCCCCACCAGTCTTCCAAAATTAAAATAAATGATCAGACGGCATGACTGTTGATCTATGTAGGTCTTATTTCACACCACAATAATCATTCTGGGTTGCACTTTTACAGAACTCTGTGCTTGCCATTCCTAAAGCTCAGTGGCATGAGAGGGAATTAAAGCCTTTTGGAATCAATGGTAATGCAGACCTTCTTGTTTTGACAAATGCCATACTTCAGTTTAACTCTGTGGGCTTGTAGTTGATTTCTGGTCAATTGCTTTATGTTAACATTTTATCTTTACTCAGATGAGGGAGATACGTGCTACGCAAAACTGTTGCTGGCCTCTCCAGATGAAGTTTTAAAACAGGTAAATGATCAAGTCGTACAGTCTTCGAGATTGCTCACTGTATTTGAGTATAATAGCAGTTTTGTTGAATCCATGTCCACCAGATTGTTGCACCAGAAGAGGCAGCCCTTAGTACTCAGCTTATGGAAGCCACGAGAGAACAAGTAAGTGTGGAGATTTACCTCTTTTGTACTCTTTTGGATTAATATTACACTGTGCGTACTGCCTCCCAGCTTAATTCACTGGAAAATCTCTGAAATCCTGGCATCTAACATTGGATTCCTTATATTTAACCCATTGACTCCTGTGCCGGTTATGCAGCCGTGATGAGCCTTGGCCTTTCTGCCACTTCTGATGTCATCACCTTTGACCAAAATTGGCATCATCTACGCTTAACTTCTGCAGGAGGAAAAGATCTTTCCAATGATACCCAGATCAGAGTGATCGGCCCAATGGAGCCTGAGATATGCACAATAATGCTCAAACAGTTGAGTGAAAAACTCGGAGCAAAATTTCCTGCCACTACACGTGGCTACTCCATGGCAAAAATTGCCCGTCTCGATGATGCTTTCTCAGAATGTTTTAAACTTGAAGGAAGCCCAGTAGAAGGTCGATCACTGCAGCAAAAAGAAGGGAAAAGGAAGAAAGGAAAGGTGAAAAAAAAAATTAAAAAATCGAAAAGCCTAAAGACATAGGTCACTTTCTCGTCCAAAAACTCAAAATTTTGATTTCTGCACATGTCCAAGCAAAAATGTTGTAAAACGAATGCTAGTGGAAAGAAAGGCATGCTGTCATTTTGCAAATGCCTTTTTGAGTAGATTGAAGCTTGTTTGGCCCATATCCAGCCTGAAAATCTCCAAATGTCCAAAAAATGTGTTTTTGGCAAAAAGCTCTAGGAGTCAATGGGTTTATGTCTTGAACTGTTCCTTTAGCAGGACTGCATAGTATCTACATGTATCTCAAGTCTTGTAAATGTGAAATCAAAATACATAAATTTACATTTTCACTCTCTGAACTCTAGATAGATGTCTCTCTTACCAGGCTGCAGGAGAGACAACACACATTCTCTTTCCAAGATCATGAAATGTGCAAATTTCTTTTGTTCTGGTTACTTGATTTAACTTATCTTGCATGTTATTTCTTTTAAGTCAGAGGAAGTCTGTTACATTGAAGTAGCACTGGATGAAATAAGGGTATGTTAGCATAATAATTTAACATACAGCCATTGATTTACTCTTCGTTTTATTTCACTTTGAAAAATCAATTATTCAGAACATTCTACAGGCACCCATACCCCTTTTCCAGCCATGTTAGTTAACTACAAAACTGGAAGTAACAAAAGCTTCTGTTGCTTTTCCAGGCTCGTAAGGAGAGTCTGAGTGATTCAAAAGACTGTGTAGAAGAAGTGAAAAGTCTTGTAGAGAGTAAGTGTAAATCTATTTTTTGTTTAATTTATAAGACAGTATATCTCCCCGACAATGACCATAGACCAGTATAAGACTAAACTTGTTTAAGGGGATTGGATCAAAATGATCTTGAACTCAAACATGCAAGCAAGCATGAGCATTTTTGAAGAGTGGTAATTAGAAATTAATGTATAATAAACTACCTTGTGATATTACACATTAGATCAGGGGAAAGAGGACTGATCAATGTTCATGCCAATTTAATTAATTTTTTCTCCAGATTATGACTGCCCCCTTGTGATTATTGCATCTGTCTAGTGAAAACATCTTCCTGCGTGTTCCTTGCTAATCATTAGAATTTTTGTTATGCAGGTGTTATGCATTTTGAGGATGAGGACCATAACAATGGCCAAGGAGTGACCAGCTGGAAAGTGCTATCCCCAAATGCGATTCAAGTAAGAAATGTTGTACCATTGAGATATTATTACTTTAATGTGACTGCCATACATTTCCAGTTAATTGTGAGTGTTTAAGTAATGGTACATCAAAACAACATCCCTAAGTTACAATATTTGATTAAGTATTAGCTTGTGGCAATTAAAGGATTCATCAAAAATAATTAATTATTCTAATAGGGTGTGGATGACTATGAGGCAGCCTTCTCTGATGAGGATGAAGAAGCAGGGGGCAAAGGACAAAGCTTGACAGATGATGCTTCAACTTGTGATATTGCTGCCTCATCAGTGGAGGAAACCTGCAATACAGCTGAGGTGCTGGAAGATCCTCATGGCTCTCCTGATGACAAGAAGGAAGAAAGGCATACCAGTGAGAGTACATCAGGAGATTCTGACTCAGAGTCTCCAAGGCCTTTGTCTCCTGGTCATGTGTCTGCACAGTATTACTACTTTTACCAAGGTACACTACAAAGATTTTCACTAAAAATAGCTCTAGTGGGAAACAGCAGGCTTTAAGCTGGATGTGTGTCCAGGCATCCTTTGTGTTCATTTGAGCAGGCCCTATAGCACATTTTGAAAACCCACTTATAAAATCCTGGCTAAAAGCCTGGGAAACAGGATATGCAGGGATTTCAGCAAGAGGGCGAAACATTTTGAACTGAACTTCTTTTTAAGAAAAAACTTTCCCTACATTATCATATCACAGTTCGTCAATTTTCCTGGTGCCCCACCCTTAATGAGACCCTTGGGTGTGTAGAGATTTTGTGAGATGTCAGCTTGTAGAAATTGAATGCAAAAAGGAACATTTCACATTCCTTATCAGCCATGTGTTACTAAGTTACTGAGTAGGATTGTTTCATCTTCTGCATGTAGAATGTAAAATCAAACATTTGCATTGTTTTAGGTTGTAACTTCCAATTTGTTTCCACAGCTGATGATGGCCAAAATGTATTCTTGAGTCCCATAAATGCTCGCTGCTTGATCAAGGTATACTGTCTTGATTTTGTCAAAATAATGGCACTTTTATTTTTAATTTTCTTCCTCTGTTTGACTATGTTGTTGTCTTACTAGGAGTATGGAAGTCTAGAGAATTGTCCAGAATACATTACAGCACAGATCCTAGAAATGGAGGCATTGTCCCAAAGTGAGGTCAGTCTTCACTTTTGTTATTTGTATTTGTTGCTCAGTGTTGTAAGGATATAGTTCCCTGTTTCAGTGGACAAAAGGACATGGTGAGGAAGTGATATTACATCATTCCTAGCTTAGTCAGCAATCCCTTAACCCCTTTCTTTCTCTTGTCTACTCTCTTGCTACATCAAGCCATTGTAAGAACTGCTTATTGAAATGGACTTCAATAAATACTTCTCAGCTAATGTGGCTTTTATTATCCAGGCTCTTCGTAAACAGTACCGCTACATGAGTCATCTTCCTTTAACCTGTGAATTTGTCATCTGTGAACTGGACATCAAGCCTCCAGTTGTTTCGCATCAAACACTCAATTTCTTTAGAGGTGAGAGACATCTTCAATAATAATAAATTATTACTAAGCTCAACTATTGAGCCTAGCCCTTAAGCTCTGGTCAGAATGCGTTATTTTTGCAAAAAGTTGACTATAGAGACAAAGACCACAGTTAACAAATGCTCCGAAGGAAAAAAGACGGCTGCTGTACATTTTGCTACAATACCATGCGAACCTAACGCAGCTCATCAGACACAAGGAAAGCCATATTTTAAATGACATTGTGTATACTAGATTTGAAGATTTTGGAACTTTTCTGTACATTTTTTATGAGTGTTGCAAGGTTTTTATGCACTATGAATATTATGGGTAAATGTAACAGGTGCCGTCTTTTTTCCTACAGAGGATGGAAAGGTATTGTTTGTGATATGTTACAACAGACATACAGGATGTCACAGATTGGATTGAAGAGTGTCCAAAATGAAAAGAAAAACAGGAATTGAAATATATTGAGTATATCCCTAAAAAATTCCCTAATTTCCCCTTGGTGTTTGGGTTTTTATCAGTTATTCACCTGACCTTAAAAATGCAACAGGCAAAAGCTTCAAAACGTATGTGTTGGTTAATCAAGTCTGACATATGTTACGAGGGAGGTCTGATTTTATACTTCCAGCATGCAGATGGGATCTCTCCAAATTTTATACATATTGACTGAATATAAAGCTCACAATAGCATTTGGTGCGATATGGCCCTATCAGGGCTCAAGGAAGTTCAAGCTAATTGTTCCTGGGCATCCTTACTGCACACGCAAATTCACACGCCACGTCATGCATGAGAGCATGCTCTAAGTAATAAAATGAACAATGATAGGGCAGATGGCCATTGCTATATCTTTGCCTGGATTTAACGATCTTGGACGTTCAGTGACCCCTACTTTTCTTTCCAGAAACGGACTTTACTTACAATTATCTCCACACTGTCCAAAACGAACAAAAAATCAATGTGGGAAGTTAAAAAAATTTCAAGATTTCTGTCCACAGGACATCGAATCCTGCCATCTTGCGGCTGCAAGATGTGTGAAATTATGGTCGCTAAATGTGAACTTGTTCTTTAAGGAACCTCACCTGTTAACTAAATTCACTTAATAGGTCCACTTGAACAATATTTGGCAGAGAACATTTCACTTCAAAGATCTAATTGCAATATTTTGGGCTTACAGACACTGTGGCCTTATTCGCTAACGAAGCCYGATTTTTTCAGATTTAGGGTGTTCTTCCGGGCACATTTTCTCCAAAACGGAGTTGGTGATCCCCCATTTTCTTTTACATTTCTGACATAACTAACTCATCATCTTACAGTGGTAAAAGTCGCGGAAGAAATCAATGTTGGTAAATTTTTGCAGAAACGTCCTTAAAGGTTTAGTGAAGGGTCTCTTCTACAATAATTACTGGTATACACAATATAGTCCTACAAAGAACAGTTGCATCTGATACGATCATTTATTGACTTTACTTTCCTTTAGGGGAATTACTCCACCGGAAACAGCAGCGACAAAAGAAGTTAAGAATGGAAAAGAAGAGAGAATTCAAAATTACAGCTGGTAGTGGTAGATCTTCTTACAGTTCTGCTAGATCTGCCAGTAAGTGTTAAAATATTGCAGCTTGACTGAAATAGCTGTTATTATAGTTCCAAGCAGCTTGACATGCAAACGTGGCAACTGAGTCAGTCTGAATAGTGCTGTGCATGTATTGCAGGCTCAATTGTATTAACGACTAAGTAGCAAATAGCTGTTACATGTATTTTATCAGCCCACACAATACAAACCTCATTTGTATGTAAAAACGAGATTAACAGCTCTTCTTTTTCCTGCTGCTTTTGGTCTACAGTGGAACCCCGTTAATCTGGTCACCAGTGCATCATGGGCTACAAAAATTGGGTGGCCATATTAACGGGGTAGGGTCAAGCCTCGTGTGGTCTAAATTGAGTGACGTCCAGACAGATAATCACAACTGCACTTCTAAACAACTGCTTTTTTAATGAGAATCCTGAATGCAGATACAATTTCCACAAAATTGAAACTTTAATCAGTGTGTAAAATACTAATGGAAAGATGAACATAACTGGTTTGAGTGGCTGTATAAACGGGGTAAAAAAAAAATATATAGGTTTATGCAGGTTGGGATTTCAGAATATAGCCATTGGCCGTATTAAGGGCGTAGCAGCATCAACAGGGTTTTCTTAAAAGAAAATGTATGGGCATTTTGCCGGGACAAAATAAGTGGCCGTAAAAACGACGTGACCATAAGGTGGGGTTCCACTGTAATTTATATATAGTTGAATGAAATTTAACATAGTTAACGACTAGGAGCTAGTCTGGTCAGTAGCGTTTTTATAGGCGGTTGTCAGTGTCTTGGCCGTCTGTGAGCGTTTGGTTAG